TCGCTCTACATTTATCATTATCAAAAACGTTACAAATAAAAAAAAAATTTCGACTTTATCGTCTCTCTCAACGATAAGAAAACCTAAACCTACTAAAAGAACTACTGCATTATCTTCAACAACAGTATATAATACAGCAGCTCCAAGTACTCCTTCGATAACAAGTGTCATCGAAGTTGTAACTTCTATAAAAAAATTCTATCGAAGTTAAACTTCGATAAGAGGAAGCGGCATCGAAGTTGTAACTTCGATAAACATGCTAACTTCCATACGACATATATATATGAGTGAAGAGCGCGCCAATTGTACCGTTTGGGGAAAAAAATTGAAAAAAATAAATTTAATGATAAAGGAAAGTTAAGTGTCGTATTTAATAGAGCTATGTCCAATATGTATAAAAATAATATTTTCCCAACACTTCCCTGTGCTGTGGTGGAGATTCACGATATTACAGCCAATTTCTATATGCTACATCTATTTTTCCAATAAACTTAGTGTATAAACTACTCCCATAAACACTTTGCTAGTAAAATTATTTTACGTGTCAAAATTTTTTTCCCTTAGCACTTCACTTGATACTCAATGAAGTTTGTTTAAATACAATTTGTTTAAATGAAATTTCGATGATTTTAACGTCGCTCTACACTTTTTATCACCAAAATGTCGCTCTACACTTTGTTAGTAAAACTGAATTTTCTCTCGAACGGAGAAAGATTTTTGCTTGATTTTTTGGTATGTTATTCTGCTCAATGAGATGAAAAAAGGGTCAACTTTTTATCGCAAACCGTTTAGTTTTCATCGAGTTATAGCGATCACAAAATTGAAAATGTCGCTCTAGCTCTACAACTTGTCTGAATATAGCTTTTTTTAACTTTGTATAAAATTTTTCTATTAACGAAGTTTATGAAGCAAACTTCTTTTTCTTGTCAAAATAATTTCCCTTTATTTCTCTTTAATACCCAATCAAATTTGTTCACATGAAATTTCTTCTGTTGAGATAAGCTACATTCACACAATACGAAATAATTGTTATATTCAACGTTAATCGCTGATCTAATCGATTGTAGCGGCATTTATTAAATATGTCTAAATATTATTAAAATAAAATTTATTTTTTTATGAAAATTTTTTCTTTTGAAAAATTCAATTGAATTTATTATTCAAAAAAGAATATGAAATGAATACAAGGTTTTATTGGATAATGTGATTGGTCCATGTTGTCAATTCCAACAAATGTTCTTTCATTTGAAGCTAGACCATATAGTTTGTTTTCTTTTTATTTGCTTTGGTTGGATCTTAACCTAAAAAAAGTTCTATTTAGATCTTTTTGTATAAAGTGTGATTAGCAAAAGCAATGCTTGCATCATTCCGAAAACAGGACAAAAAGGATGAAGAATCGGGGACAAGTGGAAATCCATATAAGAATCTTGAAAAGGCATCTGTTCTTCAAGAAGTATATTATCAAACTTAGTTTTTTTTTTTTTAATTTAAATAATCTATTTAAAATAGGCTCGTACATTTAATGAAACTCCTGTAAATGCACGAAAATGTATTCAAATATTAACAAAAATTATTTATATGATCAATCAAGTAAGAATAAATAAATCGTTTTTCTTCGACTAACGACTTATCTCACACTGTTATTTGCAGCCAGATATGGTACAAAAAAAATATTTCCATTTTTTTTTCTGTTAATGGTGAAAACTGAATCATTTTTGGGGAAATTTGTTCGTTATTATTTAGATTATTTTTTTTAATTATTTTTGAAATAAACAAATTTAAATATTTTTATTTTAAGGGAGAACAATTAGGTCAAACAGAAGCAACAGAAACATTTTTTGCTATGACAAAATTATTTCAATCAAAAGATGTAAGTTTATTTAAAAAAGATATAGATTATTTCTTTTTGGAGATTATTGAATTTTTTTTCTAAAGGTTATCCTAACAATAAACGTAGTAGAGCGACTAGAAATAATTTAAATCGCAACATAACTACACATAGTCCTTTTAGAAGTTCATTGATCATACATTAATTTAATCCTCTTCAGAATAAAGATGCATTTCACAGCATCTTCATATGATCATTATTTCTGTTCGATATATTTCAACACGATTTCATAGAAAATTCTTCGACCCTATTATTATAATATAATATGATCAAATTTTCTTTTATTTCGACAATTTTAGGTGAAAATCGAACGATATATTTGTTTTTGAGAACTTTTATATCAGACAACTTGATCATGTTACACACATATATTTGTTAAGCAATTTAAGGAATTAGTTTGTAAAATATAAACAACATACCCAACGATATCGTTCAAGTTCTACAATATACATCTCTACATTGGATTGAGAAGAATCATTTTATTTTTAATTAGAGTTTTATGAAAAATTTTGCTATAAAACAGATCGAAATAATTATTAATCGTTATCGACAAGTTTAAGATCGTTATCTTGATGAATTGCCTCGTTTATCTCTATATCATACTAATCGATCTCTTTTTAATTTCATTTCGGATTTTCTAAAAACAATGAAATTGATCACTATTTATTTATTTATATAATAAGATGATGCTTCGTCGTATGATTTATCAATAAAAGAAATGTCAACAGTTGCAAATGATGTTATTATTGTAACATCAAGTTTAACTCGTGATATGACTGGAAAAGAAGATTCTCATCGTGGACCAGCTATACGAGCTTTATGTAAAATTATTGATGTATGTATATTTAAATATAATTCGAAACAAAAAAAAATATTTATTTAACTAAATAGGCATCAATGATGCAAAGTGTTAAACGATATATGAAACAAGCAATTGTTGATAAATTACCATCAGTTGCATCAGCTGCATTAACATCATCAGTTCATTTAATGCGTCAAGGTCCTGCAGTAGTTAAACGATGGGTTAATGAAGTTCAAGAAGCTGTTAATAATGATAATATAATGGTACAATATCATGCACTTGGTCTTTTATATCAAATACGTCGAACAAATAAACATGCTATTAGAAAATTAATTGTCAAATTTTCTAAAGCTGGTCTTCGAAGTCCATATGCATATTGTTTTCTGGTTAATATATCAATTTTTTTTTATAATTAATTCAATATTTGAATTTTATTTCTTTAGATTCGTATTGCAGCTAATCTTATAAATGAAGAAGGCGAAGGGTAAAGAGAGAACATATCAACAAAAGAAATAATTAAAATATTAATTTACTTTTAGAACGGATAGTCCAATGTATGATTTTATTGATTCATGTTTACGTCATAAAAATGAAATGGTTATTTATGAAGCTGCATCAACAATTGTATCACTTAAATGTGTTACACCAAACGAACTTAGTTCAGCTGTTAATGTTCTTCAATTATTTATTTCATCACCTAAACCTGTTTTACGTTATGCAGCTGTTCGAACACTTAATAAAGTTTGTTTTATACATTTTACATAACAAAAATATAGAATTCTCTTGAAATTTAAAGGTTGCTATTCAATATCCAGCAGCTGTAACAGCTTGTAATGTTGATCTTGAAACATTAATTACTGATTCAAATCGATCAATTGCAACATTAGCTATAACAACTCTTCTTAAAGTATTTTTATTTTAATTAAATAATTTAATTTGTTTTTCTTTTTTGTAGACGGGTAATGAAGCCAGGTGTTGATCGATTAATGAAACAAATCTCATCATTTTCATCTGAAATATCAGATCAATTTAAAACAGTTGTTGTTGATGCAATTAAGTAAGAGATAATCACAAAAAAAAAATTTTTTTTCTTATCATTAAATTGAATATTTCAAAGATCATTATGTCAAAAATTTCCACGTAAACATACTGTATTAATGACATTTCTTTCAAATATGTTACGTGAAGAAGGTGGTTATGAATATAAAAAGGCAATTGTTAATACAATTATTTCAATTGTTGAAGAAAATCCTGAAGCAAAAGAAGCAGGTAAAAACTAAATAATCGGATTTTAATTTTTTTTGTATATGGATTTTATTTAAAAAGTTTGGCTCATTTATGTGAATTTATCGAAGATTGTGAACATANAAAATATTCTTGTACCTGGAAAACCAGATGTTACTCTTTCATATAAATCTAAAACATATCGTTTTGCTAATGAAGATAATCAAAGTTTATATTATTACAAGCACCATTTAAATATCTACCAATTAACAAACCACTAACAAGTTTTGTCCTGTTTCTGGAAAAAATGACATTTTAGTAACAGAATAAAGTTTTTCCTAGGGTGTGAGTATAGACAAGACTATCATTCTCACCCACACCCACCCTAAATTTCATATAAAATTTCGCATTCGTTTACAAGAATTAATTATTGGTAAAACGAAAATAAAAATTGGATCTGAATATAACGGAACACAAGAAGAACCTGATCCATAAGAATGAAAAATAAAAACACTATTCAAAATTTTATAATTTTTAGAGAAGAAGAACTAAAAGCTGAAAAACCAATTCATGAAGTAAATAAAATTGATATTCTTTTTTCTTTTTTATTTGTTTCCTTTTTTAGAGTAAAGAATGAACAGCTGAAGAAGAAAATATTAAAGCATAGTTACAAGACGGTGAACCATTTCGTTCACGTGGTTTAGTTCTTGAAGGTTTTCCATCAACAGAAGATAAAACTGTTAATATGATTGATAATCAATTATTACCTAATCTTGTTATACAACTTGATGTCGAAAGTAAAGATATATTACCAAAACGTATGGAACAATAGAGAAATAAAATACAATTAAAAGAAGAAAAACGAAGGAAAAATAAATTAAAATGGTAGGAATCTATATTGGATGAGTTCTAACAGTAATTCTATAGTGACAAGACACTTGACATGATGACTAAAACATAGAACAGCTTGTTTAAAGGTATATGTATGCAATAGGTATTTCCATATAAATCCAGCATAGGTATTTCGTATATGTAAGAATGATTGAATATCTATCAAATGACTCAGTAAAGGCTTTTAATTGAAAAGAGTGCAAGTTCTTATGCGAAAAACAAATAGTGATAACGTTAATTTAACAAGATTAACAGGAGGATCAAGTAACGAAATGACATTCAATGTGAGATTATATATGGAATCGTAACATAAGCAATGTCGAGACTATTAAAAAAAGCTGAATTTGTACTAAGACTAGATTGATGCATTATAAAACATGCACCAAGACAATCGACATTTTCGACAACACCGCACAACACAATTGAATGATTATGAAAAGATAATGAAGCAAAATCTTGATTTGATTGAATAAATGGTTCTATTGCTTGACAAACTATTCAATTCTTTCAGAAAATCCTTGGCAGCTGATAGAACAATATGTTCATCATAGGAATGATCAGGGTGTGGGTGTGGGTGTGGGTGTGAGTGTGGGTGTGGGTGTGAGGTGTAGGTGTGGGTGTGGGTGCGGATGTAGAGTTGGGGTTTTCAAGAATAATAGCAGTCACCCCCGCCTCCACACCCACACCCATACCCACACACCCGCATCAGCCGTAATTGATACATTATCATGTACAATGAAATATACAGTTAAAGATTGTGATCCAGCTACAAGTCTACCGGATGATGAACGTTATGCTGATGAATTTATGGTGAGTTTTTTTTTATTAATTATCATGTTCGAGAGAAATTTTATTGTTCTTTTTAGATGAGAATAACAGCAACATAATCTAATAACTAAACACTATTAACATTATATACAGCAAACTATAATGTGAATGTAAAAATGTTTATATCAGTTTAATCGTCGACCTGCTCGTCCTGTTCATCTACTTCAAATTGAAGTCCAGGAAATAACGTAATGTTTTGTAAAGCGTTTAATACATTAATGTATTCGTACATGGATTTTGCCGAGCTTGCATTGTCGAAACTAAAAATAGTTTGTTTAGTTAATAATTAATACAAATATATAACGAACTAGATTTTAAAATCGAGATGGTTGACATGTACTGCCGACTCATTAAGTTCGATTTTGATGATACTTCCGTATTGTTTGGCAATGATGCTTAAATAATCTGCTATCACTAAATAAAAAAAAAGAAAATTATCATAGAGATACAATAAAAGCGTATGATACGTACTTTGCCAATTGTTGCCATGTACATTGCTAACACTACCTTTAATATTGCTCGATGATGTTCGTTCGACCTATAAAAACAAAATTAGTTAACATTCATAACCTTATTTAAAAATTTACTTCTTCAATAATACACATATTTTAATATAACTTAATAAAACAAGTAAAAAGCCTACTTACAGCTGGTTCCCCTCGCTGTTCTCCGTTTATACGGTAATAATACACTCTGATCATGGCTAACGTCGACGAAAAAAAAAATCAATATCAGTGTTATGCGTAATGTTAACTGTATATATGTGTGTGTTCCAAATTCATTTATGCTTTTCTTTCGAACAGAAATGATCGACGTAAAATAAGCGAAACATAAATGTTACCTCGATCTTTCGTCATCTAGCACTACTTTTTTAATAGTGCATTTGATTTGAACTTATTACCTGGAGCAGATCGATCTCTATTAATAACTGATTCAAATCGATCAATTGCAACGTTAGCTATAACAACTTTTCTGAAAGTATTAGTATTTTATTTTATTTTATTTATTAGTTTAATTGGTGATTTACATTGATATGTAGACAGGCAATTAAGTAGATTTAATCGATTAATTAAATATATTTCTTCATTTTTATCTGAAACATTTAGTTAATTTAAAACAGTTATTGTTCATACGATTCAATAAGTGTATTCTGGAAAAAATTTTTCATTTTCTTTTTTCAAAATAAATTAATTCAAGATCATTATGCGAAAAATTTCCACGTAAACATACAGTTTTAATCATATTTTGTCAAATATGATATGTGAAGAAAGTCGTTATGAATATAAAGGAGCAATTGTTAATACAATTATTTCAATTGTTGAAGAAAATCTTGAAGTGAAAAAAACCTGTATGAATTTAATCATTGATTTATTTTATTTCCCATTATTCTAATTTAATAGGTTAACTCATTTATGGGAATTTATCGAAGATAGTGAACATGAGCATACATCGTTATCAAGTCGTATTCCTCATTGATTAGATCGAGAAGGATCAAGGACACCATTGAAATACATTCGTTATGTTTATAATCGTATTATTCTTGAAAATGAACCTGTTAGAGCCAGTAAGATTGATTTCATTAGTTTATTCCTAAATAGTACTTTACATAGAACAATGCTTGCCATCAAGATGATAAAGTTCGAAATCGAGCAAAATTTTATTATCAATTATTAAAACAAAATGACAAAGGACTTTATTCAGCTTATATTCTTAATTGTGAGTAGAATAATTAAAAACAGAAGAGATTTATTTTAGCTATGAATGCATCTTTATCATCACTTGAACACTTTTTATATTGTCATACAATGGATTCCACAATTAAACCGTTTGATGTTCGATCTATACCTATTGAAGCAGTATTAGAACCTGTTTAAAAGTGCAGCGGATATTAGTGTGGCTCTTCCACAACGGCAAATTGATTTAACATTATAACAAGAAAATATTTATAATGGTAAAATTTGATAAAACTATTTACTTATTATTTATTTTAATTGATAGAAAAATGATCTACTATTCCTGTATTTGGTCATTTGGATCTAATATTTAAGTCCTCATCACCAATTGATTTAATTGAAAGTAAAGTTGAAAATGTTGTTCAATGTATTAAACATGTGTTTAGTCATTATATTGTTTTTCAAATAAATATTCTATTCATTTTATTTTTATGCTTAGAAGATTTTCTTTATCTAGTTTGATATCAATAATTCATTATATGATCAATTATTAGAAAAAGTATCTGTACAAATGGATAGAGCAACGAAATGGTTTCAATTTGTTCATTATACTCCATATCCATTGATAAAATGTAATGATATAGGAACAAGTTATACATTAGTTAAATTACCTGATGATTCATCAGCTGTAACCCCATGTGTTCGATTGCGGTCAAACTGCGACGCAGTTGCGGCGCAACTGCGTCGCAGTTTTCCATATCATGCATTACTAGTGGTAAGTGTTCATTGGACCAAAATAGCTAACTACATGAGTATCATTTGTTCTTGTTGTTTATTAAATGCTTCCAAATAAATACATGATATACAAAGTTTTCGAGAAAA